TCTGGCAGGGCCAGGATGCCTGCTGCCCCCCAGGAGAGTCCCGACAGCCCGGGGGAGCGCAGCCCCCGGCTCTGCACCATCAAGCATCGGCTCTTGGAGCAGGGGAAGGGACGAGCCCCTTGAGGACGGTGTGAGGGGAGAGGCAGGTGAGGGGATGGCGGGGCTGGGGGAGGCCAGGCGCAGATGAAGGAAGCCTTCAGTGCACCAAGCGAGGGGCAGGGTGTCCCTGGGGGGTATCAGCTCATCTGCCCCAGGTAGTCTGAGAGCAGGAGCTCGGGGGGCAGGAAGACGTGGTGTTTGTTGCTCACTTTCATTTGACGTTTCCCTTCGATGTCTGAACCTGGGGAGCAAAAGGGAGCAGTTAGCACAGCCCCATCCCCACCGTGGATCCCAAACACCGTTCCCAGCCCAGCTACCTCCTCTCCTCACCACGGCTTGGAGCAAGCACAGGTTCCTCTGTGCTCTGCAAAGGCAGCAACTATCCTCCCCAGCCCCCTCCACGTGTCCCTGCCGGCACCATGGGCTCCACTTCACATCATTAGCGCTCTCGTGCTGTTTTCCACAAGCAGCTGCTAATGAAACACTCAGCAGCAAAAACTCCTCCGCAGAGACAGAGCCCGGTGCCTCTCCTCCCCTGCCTTGGCAACAAAATCTTCTAGGGAAACCCACGGCAGGGTGTGGGCACGGCCGCTCTCTGCGGGAGGAGGCAACAGTCGCAGGAGAGGGAGCCCCATGAGCTCCTGCTTTGGAGCCAACCCAGAGAAGAAATGACAGCACTGTTGTGAACGAGACATCCCCAGGCAGAGCTGGGCCTGGCCATCACCCTGGCTGCTGGGCTTCAGCCCCTGGCAGCAGCTGATGCTGCCCAGCAGCACTGGTGGAGCGGGGTGACCACAGCCAAGGCTCCCCAGGGAGCTTCGGGGAACAGAGCAGGGTTATCTGTGAGCCACAGCGCAAGGTGGGGCAGGGAGGAGGAAGGGAGGAAGAGGCTGAGCTGGAGAGGAGAGATAGCAATGGAGAGAAGGAAAAACCAAAAACAACCCCAAAACCAAACAAACAAACATGAGGCTCTTACTGGCAGAGACGAGGTCCATGTACTGGCAGAGCGCGTGGAGCAGGAGTCGCTCAAAGCTGGGGGAGACGGGGGACAGGGTTAGAGCTGGCAGGTCTCAGACCAGCATCTCCCAAGCGCTGCCTTGCCCTCGTTCCTCTTGTGAGCTCACAGATCAGAGGCAGGAGTACCAAGTGCCACAAGCCTCTGTGCAAGGATGCCCCCAGAATGTCCCTCCCTTAGGGGCTCCGCAGTGTCCCCAGCTGGACACCCGTGAGACCGATCCTGCCAAGGGGTCTTGTTCGCCCCCAGAGCCCCTCTGCAGCCTGGGGTGGCTCTGGGGCAGCTCAAAGCCGGGCAGAGCAGCTGTGTGCGCTGCAGTTTGCTCAGGCCGCGGTGAGCAGGGAACCCCCATGCGTGGGGTATGTACAGCTTGGGGCCCTGGCCTCCGCTCCGTGGGGAGAGGCGATGCTCTGCAGAGCTGGAGGGGGAGGAATACCTGTTGTCCATCAATGCTGTGTAGACAGACTGAGGGGTGACGGAGAAGAAGGCCAGCAGCTCCTCCTCCAGGCCCTCCAGCGTGCCCTGTAAGGAGAAGCAGGGGCTGTCAGCGAGGGGGCAATGGCGGCCAGACCCTGCTCAGACCCTGCGGCAACAGGCGAGAGCAAGGAGCTGGGCAAAGGGAGGTGGCACTTGCCGGGTGTACCCCAGCGTGGGCAAAGCCACCTGCCCCATGCAGCTCTGTGCCCCTTGCAGCACCCATGCTTTGCCTTTGAGGAGCCACTGTCCCAGCTGGGGCCAGGCCGAGCCACAGGAACTTCGTGACTACAACCACCTTCCCTGCCACGTCTGCACAGACTCAGCATGACGGGGCCTCCAGCTCCCGAGGAGTTACCGCCAACAGCTCACAGGCAAGTCATCTGGCTGCAAGATGGCAGGAAGGCACAAGGAGAGGAGACATCTCCCCTTTCCAGTGCCCAAGGCGGGGAAGAATCCATCCCCTGCCAGCTCCATACTTTGTGTACTAAGGGCTGGCATTGTCCCTCACGTTCAGAGCGGCAGCAGCCAGGAAAGCCTCGTGCCTCGCATCTCCTTTTCTCCCGACAGGCAAAGATCAACTCGATGTAGCTCTCCAGAGCACCATGACCCCAGAGACAAGCAGCAGAAGCGAGTCTCATTTGAGAACAAATTGAGCAGAAGCCAGCGGGCAGGAGGAGCTGAGGCTGCTTTCAGAGACTCTAATTAGAACAAGAAAAACAAACAGAGCAGGAAAACAGCACCATTGAGAAGAGGGAGCAGGGAGCCAGGCACCCTCAGGGCCCAGCAGAACAAGTGTCTGGGCAGGCAGTGCGGCACAGAGGCTGCACGTGGCAGCTCGGCTCCCCGAGCCAGGCGGCACAAGGCCACACTTGCCTCTCCGTTCAGAATTAATTGTCCGCTCAGCCGTTTATACAGCTTGACCCCTTTCAAAATGCATTTGAGTTTTTCCAAATAGCCTCGTGTGGACTATTTGGTAGAACCCAAAGGCTCCGCTGCTGCCCCTGTGGGCAAACACACTGGGTTTCCCCGTCACCTGCTGCTCACCGGGCAGAGACTGGGAAACAACCCCGTAAAAGTGTCCTGTAACTGCCAGAAAAATCTGAACTGAGCCAGGAAAAACCATCTGCACAGGGAGCTGAATGTCTGTTTGCAATCAGCCACCACTGCAGAGGTCATACGAGAACTGGAGCACGTTGCCCAAGAGCTCATCTGAAATTCGGCACTTGTCTGGCTCGGCGACCGTGCGTGAGGTCAGGGGACAGCCCTCGGGACACGGCTCCAGACGAAGCTGCACGTGGGACGCTGGCAGCCAGAGCCCAGCCTGCCCCAGTCCCGCCGCCCCCAGCAGCTCCCGGCTCACCATGGGGATCCTGCCCCGCTTCAGGGTGGAGCGCAGGCGACGGCTGATGCGCTGGAAACACTCCTTGGGTGTGTAGGCAGGGTGCTCTGGAGCCAGCAGAGAGAAGACAGAAGGGACTTGGGACACAGCTCACATCCCCAGTGCCCGCGGGATGGCTCTGGCCACAGCCACATGGCATTGCCTCTTGGAAGGAGCCTGACGTCCCCATGGCTGCTCCGGAGGAGCCCAGCTGGCCACCTCCCGTGTTCGTGGATCTGCCCAAAGTCACTCCCGGACCAGGAACACCCTCCCCAGCAAAGGAGCATTTGGATGGTGCTGAGATTTGGGGGTTTGCAATCACTGCAGCACCTGAGGGGGTGGCTCAGACATCCCCAAGTCCTGTCATGAGTGGATGGCGCAGGGAGAAGGATGCAGCCCTTGGGGAAGAGTGCCCTTCCCAAAACACATGCAGGGGAAGAAAGGGAGAGGCTCTCCCCACCCAGCATCCCCTCCCAGCACCTTTCCACTTGTCTTTGTTCTTGACTGGCAGCTTCCTCTTGTGCTTCTTCCTGGCCTCCTCCTCCAGGTAGAGCAGGACTCGCTCTTGTTCTTCTCCTGACCGGTTCATGAAGTCGTTCCAGATCTGACAAAACAAACCACCGCACCCCGCTGCAGAGGTCTCTGGGGAGCACCCTGCGGTGCATGGCCACCCTGAGCCCACCTGGTGCCCCGAGAGCCTTCTCCTCGCCCCCCTGTCCCCAGGGATGGCCCAAGCAGAGCAGGAACAGCAGCTTGGAGAGGGGAATGAATGGGGCTGGGCAGAGCTCTGCAGCTGCGATGCTGCCCCAGCCAGAACAAAGGAACAGGCCACAGCAGTGACAACCTTTCTCTGTGTCTCTCCAGCTCCTGATTGTCTGTTACAGCTTGTAACAGCCGCTTTGGGAGGAGATGCAGATTTAACACTCGGAGCCAACATACAAAGGTTACTGGGAGTCCGAGTGCTGGCACTGTAACAGCCTATCCATGCAATCCAGCTCAAACCCAGGTCTGCATCGGGCTTCCTAAGCCTGGCTTGGATGAGTGAGAGAAGAGCTCTGCAGAGCCAGGAGTACACATGCAGACCGTGCAGGTTGCTCTGCAGCCGAAGCCCCGAGCATCAAACAGGAGAGAAGGCAAGTTTCAAAACAGCCGCTTACGGAGCTAGTGTTGTAACACGGGCTGGGCAGCGTGAAGCAACAGAGGGGTTGGGCAAGGGGCCTGTTTTGGAGAAGTGCTGCAGCTCACCCTGTGTCAGTCACTCTGCAGATACAATGCTGTACGTTGGGGCACTGGGCAGTGCTCAGGGTGCTGCTAGGGGCAGCAGCAGCCTCCATTAAGCTGGCCTGGCCAGGGTCTGAGCAGGACCCAGCCCCCGCACCGCACGTTTATGCGGATCCTCTGCAAGAATCTGCCCAGAGATCCCCCAGCCCACAGGCTGCAGGACCAGGGGCCCCAGGACATGATCTCCCTCTGGCACAGAAGGTGGCAGCCGGGCACTGGGCGCACAGACACCGTCCCCAACTCCAACATCATGGAGGAGCTAGGGCATAGCAGCTCAGGCCAGGGAGGCAGAGGGTGCTCGGGCTGGAGGAATGAGGTTTGGACACCACGCACTATCAGAACCACACATGCCGTGCCAGGGCCTCCCCAGCGAGCCCCGAGCAGCGGGCAGCTGCACCTACCTCCACATAAGTCTCGTTGTTACAGGCCTCGGTGAAGATGCTTGGGGTGGCAGAGTGGGTGAGCTCTCCCTCGTCGCTCCCACATTCATCTCGCTCCAGAAGTGTCATCAGGTAGCGAGCTAGGAGGGAAGAGAGCAAAGCCCCTGAGAGGGAAGGTAGTGCCCTCAGAGAAGCCCTGTGCCCCCAGCACCCCCCTGCTTGCCAGGCAGCGGAGCGTTTAGGGGCAGCAGCACCTGCCTGGGGAAGAGACTCAGCCCAGGGAAGAGTCAGCGCTTGGAGCCCGCCCCGAGTCCTTACTGTTCTCCAGCCTCTGCAGGCTCTTGCGCCCCTTGGCCCTGGGGATGAGGTCCGAGTTGCGGATGGCCTTGTTGATATAATACTGCTTTCGCTTGGAGGGGGAGAACCTCTTGGACGGGGAGTCCTCCAGTGGGGGCAGGCAGTCCTCTATCCTCCTGCAGGGACACAGGGCAGAGGGGACTGAGCCCACCCGAGACCCCCCAGGCCCCAGAACAGCTATGGCAGCACGAGGACAGGGAGCTGCGTGGGGAGAGCCCACGGCGGGGATGACGGGGGAGGCAAAGCATCAGCCATCAGCACTAGTGCCACAGGCACCGCATCCTCCTCCGTGGGGCCCTGTACCCCATCAGACACAGCTAACAGCCTCACGGCCCTATCGCCCGATCATCGAAGGCAGCGGTAATACCCGCCCTGGCCATATAATCACCATATAACAACCAGCCACAAGCTGGCAGGGCCCAGAGCAGAGACACCGGCTGCCCCAGTACCACCCAGAGCAGACAACGGGTAAGGAGCCTGCCGGTCCCAGCAGCAGGAGCCTTCATTGCCATAAAGCTACAGCCCCCCGGAGAAAGGCTGCACCGCTCCTGGGTAGGCCCAGAGGCGTTTGGCTTCTGTTGATAACAATGCTCTGGTCAGGGCGTTACTTAGTAACTACCATAAAACTTGGAAAATTTCATGTGAAAATTAAACCAAGCGACGAGTGAGAAGCTCACTGGACATGTAACACAACCGCTTTGGTTTCAAAGTTCACAAAAACTCCGCCAAAGACAGGAAGTTTCACTATCTTTTCGCTTGTTCTTTGCTAAAGCCTCTGCATCGCAGCTTCCCCTCCGGTTTGTGTGGATTTCCTTTAGCACAGCAAAAGGTGGGCGAGAAAACCAACATCACCAAAACAAACCACCCCTACACAACGACGGTACACGCCGGGCTGGAAGGGCAGCTGCACCACCACCGGACCGCTGCCACAGCGACACCATGTCTCGCCCCTTCCACAGGGCTGGTCCCCACCGGGCATGGCTGTCCCTGCTATGTCCCCACCTGGACCCCTCCTTTCCAGCGCCCTGGGGCTCGGGGGAGAGCTGGCACCGCAATCAGGTGCTGGCACAGCCATCCTCAGCAGCTGAGGCAGAGCGGGCTGTGCTGCCTGATTACAGCCTGCCAGCCTGGGAAGGTGGCCAGCTGCTTACCCACACCAAAGCCTTGATTTTTTTTTTTTGATTTTTTTTTTTATTTTTTTTTTTACTCCCCTTCCCCTGGACAGAGGCAGCGACGGGCCTCTGCTGCTGGCAGGGAGGAAAACCCCACCTCTTCCCCTTCCAGCTGAAGGGAAAACAGTGGCAGAGGTGGCCTTGGAAGGGAAAAAAAAAAAAGAGATGCACGTATCCCTGGCGATGACTAACAGACGGGTGGGGAGCTGTAACCCAAGCTGCAAACAGAGAGCGACCAGGGCTCACAGGTCAACTTTTGATACAAAGGTGGTTTTAAAAAAAAATAAAAAAGAATAGAGGGAGTCACCTTACTGCAGGCCCCAATTCAGAGGTTTGAGTATACAGAGCTCGGCAGCTGCAAGCCTGGCACTACCAGGAGCCGTCACGGCTCACCGGCACGGCCCCGGAATAGCTGCGCACAGAAGGAGCCCCGCAAAGGGAAGGGGCCCGAGGCAACGCGCAGTAAATATTTACCCTGTTTTCATAGACAGGGAGCCCTATCTCAGGGCAGTGGGACCACGGGGAGGGCTCATCCTCGAGGCAGGGGGAGAAAGGATGTTAAAAATCG